AAAATAGGACCACTAGTGTTCTATCTGATGCAGCTAAGAAACATTTAATAGTTTCATATAGAAGGTATAAGCTCTACATTAAAAAACTTATTTGCCATCAGGCCAGGACCGCATTTTTCACAAATTATTTGTTGTCTTGGTTTGAAAGACAACATCTGCTAAGGAAGATAGGAGCCTCCCTTGGAATGGAAAATATGGCCCCCTTCCCTCCAAATTATTATAATTCTGAAATTAAGGGGCATTCAGGCAAAGATACGAGAAAAGGAAACCATTTCTTTGGCAGTACCAAGGCAGACAAACAGCAGCAGTGGCAGCGACAGCAGAACCACAAACGCCGTGGCGGCCTTCCCTTCCCCTGGGTGCAGTTCCGCTCCCGGCCAGCGGGGGCGCTGCTGGCTCGCGGCCAGGCAGGGCGGGCGCGGTGATTCCTCCCCGCCTGCAGGGGGCGCTGCGGCGCCAGCTCGGCCGTGTCTCTGCCCACAGCGATGGTGGCGCAGCCGGCAGGAAGGGATGGAGACAAGGCTTCCTTTAGGAATCACAGGGGAGCCCATCCTGGTGCCCCTTCGGGACAGCAAAAGCTGGAACCTTGGAGTAGCAAGCTGGGAAGGCAGGGATGAGAAGTATCGGAAAGGTCCTGGCGGGAGGTGAGTGCTTACAGTGCAGCAAAGACACCTCAGAGCAGTGGCAAGAAACAGTGGGGCTGGGCAGTGCCTGCCTGGCTCCCGAACAGGGCCAGCAGAGGCTCCCTTGGAGGGTGAAGGGGCTCGGAGATCCCGGGATGTCCCCTGAGGCACCTGGGGAGATGGTGAGGGCTCCTTTGTTCAGTGAGGCCAGGTGTTAATAAGGTCCCAGTGCATCGGCCGCTCTTATGAGCAGAGCTCCGCTCACGGTAGAAGGCAGCAGAGGACAGAATCCGGCCGTGGTGGTGAGCTCCTCCTCCAGCGACTGCAGCCTCCTTCCCCTCTGAATGCTGAGACCAAGAAGGAATGCTCCCTAGCAGCTGCCCCAGCCCCCTTTTCCCCAGCCAAATTCTTTGGTATCTCTGCCCCTCCAAGAGAAACCCTCAGACAAGAGGAGTGCAGCCAGTGCCCTCTTCCTCTGAGCTTTTATCTCTCTTAGGTACCCGGTCATTTTTGTCTCCTAGCAATATGGGGGGAAATTCCCTGAGAGAAAGAATCCCCAACCCCAACATTTGTGTATATGTAACACAGCCCAGGAACAGCAGTACAGATTAGACAATAATCCTGAAGTTTCTTAATATTTGCCTTGCAGAGGCCTTCTGCTGAAGAGAAGGGTTTGTGCTAACAGACATTTGTTCTAAGGCAGGCAGATTTAAAAAAAAACCCAAACACACAAAGCCTAAAAAATACATCCAAAACCCCCAAAGGAATAGTTAATAATTAAACAAAAAGTTGAATGTTTAAAGACTGAAATGTTTTTCTTGTGGTCACTCATGTCATATACTGTGGCATCAAGACTCATGCACAGTCCCTGAGCTGGTCCTTGTTTCCTACCCTGCCCCAAATGCTATTATTTTTGCTTCTCTAGTGAGGGTGACAAGCAACAGTCAGAACACCAGCTTCTTAGAGCTATTTTTACATATTTCATGCACTGTTGTTGAGGTCAGGAATCACAAAATTCCATGCTAAGCTCAAGTGAGCAAAATAAACATCATTTTCCTACACAATCACAAAAGGATGAACAAAGATTAACAAAGCAGGAAATAGACACTGTCAGAGAATTATAAAGTAGGGGAAAAAACCCAAGAGAAGTGAAAACAAAGGAGCTTCTACTTGGAAAAGAGCTGCTGATTGCCCCTGTGTCACCTTGAACACGAAGTGAGCCCTGAGCAGCCCAGCTAAATCTTGTGTCATTTGGCTGTGAGAGCCACCTGAATGGCCTTGTTCACAGAACCTCTGCTGCCCTGAAAGGAGAAGACCTTTGGGATGGAAGTGCCACATCTGCTGTTCCTGCAGAGCTGACAGCCATCCTGGCAGAGTGTCACTGTGGTTGTTGACAGCCTGCTTTATGGTTCCTTCACATGCCTTGTGCGTTTTCCCATGACACAAAGTGATGTACGCTCACAAAGGAGGCAGAAGAAGTGATAAAAGGAAACTAACATAGCGACATAATCCAGTAATAAAGTCAAGTTCTTCTCTAGTCACTGCTTTCCAGGACATTTCCACATCCCAAGTTACCATTGGAACAGCTGAGTAGGGTAGGATTCCTTTGTTGTGCAAAGTATTTTTGCCAAACCCCATCCAAAAGTCACTTTCCTCTTGTGCCACAAGGCCCATTTCCATGTATTAAATATATATATATATATATATACCTAACTTTCTGCACGCAAATGTAGTGTTCATTAACACTAGTTACAGACTCTCAGACTGAGTAAAGCCCCTGGGCCAAAAGCTGGGGATACTGAGCAAAAATACACATGGTTGTAATCCATGTGTGCCTGCACCATTTGTTTGCTTGTTTTCCCAGAAAATCACAAGTCTGATGGCTTGTCCCACTTCACCGCCTGATTTAAATCAGCAACCTTTGGAAAACCCCAGCCATGCTTTATGCAAAGCTTAGGTAAGATTAGTTACTTCACTCAGAGTCCAATTTATTTACCAATTAGGAAAAAATAGACAGTAACTGAGTTTGCTGTTTTGAAATGAAGGGCTTGAGTCCTCAGGTCTGCTCCCAGACTAAATTCTGGGTTTAGAACTTAATGATTTCAAAGTCTCAAAACAAGTACTTTACACTGCAGTGCAGATTTTCTTTAATCTATTATCACAGAGCCATTACCATCATCTCTATTTGGCCCAGTCTTGGCCAGCAGTGTGTCCATCTTCAGAGCCATCAGGGATTGGCTCTGCTGGACATGGTGGAAGCTTCCAGCAGCTTCTCACAGAAGCCACCCCTGTGACCCCCCCACTACCAAAAACCAGGCTGTACAAAACCAACACAGTATTTTCCATTATAGTTTTCAGTAGCAACTTTTCTTTCTCAGCCTGAATGTGTCGCACTGGTAACACTGCTTCCAAGAAATGCCTTGTGATGCTCTGTTGAATGTTGTGACACCATTGGGGAATCATTAGTTAATGTTATTAAGAAGAAACCTTGTCCTCTGCAGAAAGGGTGCACCCGAACCATGCGCATACACTTGCTGCATATACCCCATGGCTTTAGAGCCCTTAGACTCCCACATCAGCCCTTGCTGCAGTGGGACAGGTGCTGGGACAGTCGTTGAGGCTCCAGACCCACCCCTGAACTTCCACTCTGCCCAAGGACAGGTCCCAGCCCCACTGGTTTTGTTCTCTATTCAGTGACTCCCAGTCAACAGCTACAAAGCACTGCCTTGCACAGCACATGTAAACCTCTTTGTTTCACAGTGCTACTGGAGTTCTCTGAGAAACAGCTTGACACATGCAGCACAATTCCTTGGAGCACAGGAGACGAGCTACTGCTGTACAGAAGCTCTCACTGAGCACGCAGTGCTCATCTGGAGTTACCAAGGCTCTGATGCCAGCTTGCTTTGAGTCAATGGGGAGAGACATTTCTGCAGCAGATGAGGTTTTGGCCTAAAGGAATATAAATATCTGGATATCATATTGCTTGATTAGCTCACTAGATAACTTCATGTGAGGCAGCTGAACAAAATCTTAAAGAGATCACGAACATTCTGAATGCAAAGCTCCCTTTGGTGTATCAGCTTTTCTTCAGGGGCATTTAAGGTTTATGTGGCCCATTTTAGGGATCGTTTTAACATGGCTCTGATGCACACAGTTTTCTTTGCTTCTCTCTCCATATTTACTATATTTACATTTTTTGTGACAGAATTTAACAGGTGGACTGGATTTGATTTCCTCACTGTTCATCTGGTTACACCCTTTCGGACATTAAAAATCCCTTAGTGTATTTTCAAGTATTAAACTGGCTGTTCAGAACAAAGCCAAGAAAAGTATTTGTTGTGAAATTCTTAATGCTCTCTGCTACCTGCAGACATTAGAGACTTTCCAATCTTCAAGTTTTCTGGAAGGAATGCCACAGGAGTGGCTCTTTTACCCCAGACATATTTTATATGCACAGGTTTCTTTCCTTACCTTCTTTTTCCAGAGCTCAGTGCCCACTAGCTCACAAAAGCCCAGCCTTGTGAATGTGCATTGGGGACACACAGTCTAAGTTTTTTGCAAGCCTCCTATGCCTTTCATGACCTTTGACAGCCTCTGATGGTCTCATCTGCTGGGGATTGTGTAATGTGTCCCCAAGGTGTCCATGCACCTTGGAAACTGTCAGCTAAGTGAATAAGTCTGGAGGTGAAGAAGACAGGTGATGTGCCACACTTTTCCTTTGCTTCTGGAGAACCAGAAAGCAAAAGAACTGCTCCATCAGATGTGAGTGCTTTAGAGCAGTGAGGAGGCAGCATTAGCAAAGGACATCAAGTCTTTAAGGATTCACTGCCACTTTCCTGCTCTGAGTAATTCCCTGAGAGGGCAAGGAAAGCTGTCAGGGGTCCTCTGATTTATGGCTATTCACTGCGTGTCCCTCCTGCTGGAGCTACTGCAGCTGCACTCCGAAAGACAATAGCCAGAGAGAGACACACGGAGAAAGGTTCCCGGGAAAGCACATCACCCTCCTTCCTCCCCCTCCTTTCCAGTGGGAGGTCTGTATTTTGCTTCTTGGGACATCAGGTGCAGGCTGCTGCTGCCCAGCACAAGCAAAACCAGAGAGCAAGGGCAGACCGGGGTTTGTATGTCCCATGCTCAGGCTTGCTAACAAAGACACTCTGCCAATTCCATGCATTCAGGGGGGTTAAGGCAGAGGAACCCCAAAAGGGCTGCGGTCTATTGTCTCCAGATCGTGCTGCCTCTTTAAAATCAGAAATGCACGGACAGCTTCAAGGTGCCTCCCACTGAGCAAAGGCTTTAGATGCAGGCACCGAGGCAGAGGAGCCATCCTCCCCTGAGCACAGGGCTAACCTAATGGGAGAGAAAGCAGCGCTCAGCGGAGTCCTTGGGCTACTTCCAGTGATCCTTTCTCTCCCCCAGTGACAGCAGCACGTGCAGAGGAGAAACCTGGCGACTCTCCACAGGGCACCTGAGACCTCCAAGAAGATGAGCACAACTGCAGGTACCCTTTGCTGATTGTGTTATGTCAGTTTGTAGACGGTTGTGTTGTCTGTATTTATTTTACAGCTCTTTTGATATTTAGCAGTGGAATCTGACACAGATACTGCCCCTTGCTTTGGCCAACAGATTTTGCATCCACGTGTTTATTTAGCACTTTTCTTAAATGAATGTTTACCTTTCCAGGCAGCTGTGGAGGTGTCTCCTGAAGCAGTCCCTTGTCAGAACTGTTTTATTTCAGGCTCTGGCTTTCTGTTATTCTGTTCTGCAGTGCTCAGTTTAAAAAACAATGTGGTGACCAAAGTTGTAAAAGAGAGTTTCTGACAGATATTTGTTAAGCGTCGGTACATCAGGGTCTGAGGGTGGTTCCAGGGAAAGAAGGGAGCAACAGCTCCACTAGGCAGATAACCCTTTGCAGCTGTGACTGCTATTGTTCAGTAGCGTTTGACACCAGAGGACTTACTGCTTTAGTGCAGAAAAAGCAGTAATGCTCCCTGAGCCTCTGCTGGGATGAGGTGAGACTGTCCTGACAGCTAGGAATCTGCTGTGAAGATTCCTAGATGGACCATGGGAAGATACAAGAAGATGCCCTCTCAGCATTTTGATACAGAGAGGCTAACATAAGGAGTAGATGAAATAGGGGTTTTCCCTATGTGTGGGAATTTTTTTTTTTTTTTTTAATATTTGGTACAATTGGCAGTACAAAGAGGGAAGCTTGCTCTTCCCCAGCATCAAAAATGCAAGGCACTCTGTCTTGCTCGCAGAAGATTTTCGCTTTCACCTTTCACTCTCTGTGGAAACACTTTCCCTGTGAATGGCAGATTTGCCTTCACAGCTAAGCTCTACAAGTTGGTTCATGGGACAAAATTCTTGTCTCTGAAAATTGGCAGAGTTTCACCTGTTTGACAGAAGTGATAATGGATATGCTGGCAGAAAAATTTTGTCCTTACTCAGTTAATGGCTGCCAAAAGGGAAGTGCTGGATTTAGTATTTTCTTGGGTCTTTGCAATTCTTACTTCATTAAGAAATGTATTTGGAAGCAAGAACATCAGTTCTCTTTTCATTCTCCTCTACCACATCACTCTGAAACAACCAGAATAAAGCACAAACTTTGTCCAAAAGGCACATCAAATGCTTTACAGCACACTGAGTTGTCATTTTAGTGTTTTTTACCTTGCACAACGATGACAGCATCATGAGCTTGCGGGCTGGTAGTTTTAAACTAGATTTTACATTCCTCCTAGACTGTCATTTCACTGCCTGGTGAAAATTTCATTGTTGGTAACTAAAACTGCTGCTGTAACAAACAGTGCATGAAGCAACTAGAAGCATTTATTCTGTGAGAACAGAAGCATCCCTTCACAGGGTATTTCTTCCTTCTGTGCACATGCAGCAACAGAGCTGTGGGGCAATGAGGTGGATATTGCTTTCCTTCAAGATCAGTACTTTTGCTGTAATTTCCTTTCAGGTAACATCTTCCTCTTTTTGCTCCCACAGAAGGAGACAAGTGAGGCTGTTGTCCTATAACCTTCTGGGGACAAAGACGACGTGACTCACTGCTCAAAAGGAAGCTTTGGGTGAGGTCTCTCACCTGCCACTCTTGTGCCCTGCCACACTGTGGTAACACAACACCGAGGGCCAGCCAAGCTGCACATGCCAAAAGAAGACAGACATGGCCATGGAGCAAACTGAACATGACCTAAATGCTACTGCCCACCTCAACTTTGCTTCAATCTACAACATCCATGATGGGGATTTCAGCTCTTTGAGAAACTTCTCTTTCCCTTTCAATTTCACTTACAGTGATTATGACCTGCCACTGGACAGTGAAGATGACATGACCAAAACCCGCACCTTCTTCACAGCCAAGATTGTGATCGGGGTTGCTCTGGCTGGCATCATGCTGGTCTGTGGCATTGGCAACTTCATCTTCATTGCTGCTCTCGCCCGCTACAAGAAGCTGCGAAACCTCACCAACCTGCTGATTGCCAACCTGGCCATCTCAGACTTCATCGTGGCTATCGTGTGCTGCCCCTTTGAGATGGACTACTACGTGGTGCAGCAGCTGTCCTGGGAGCACGGCCATGTCCTCTGTGCCTCGGTCAACTACCTACGAACTGTCTCCCTCTACGTCTCGACCAATGCTCTCCTGGCTATAGCTGTTGACAGGTAAGTGAGGTGCTACAACTGCACAAAGATGTAGCCACAGCTTCCAAAGTTCTAAACCATGTCCTAAAGTGCCACATCCACATTTTTTGTGAACTATTCTGTGGGTAGCATGTTTTGATGCCTGACCACTCTTCCAGTGAAGAATTTTTTCCCAATTGTGCTGCAGTCCTGATAGACTGCCTGCCTTTTACTCCAGGAATTTTAACAATTTAATTTAATTGTATCCTTTCTCAAGACTCTTCTCTCAACCTGGTGCGCCATGGACTCTGACAAACCAAGGCACTGAGCATCAGTCTGGTGCTGACATAAGTCTGACATGACTGACTCACAGAAAGCCAGAGACTGGCTCAGTAAACCCTTTACAGAAGGGCCATCATCACAAGACCTCTTTCATGTACAAACACAATACACATCCCTGTAAACCCTTTGCACATACATATGTGATTCCCACTCTTCCTTCCTCTTCTTTCCCCCAGTTTCTCTCATGTGCCATTTCAAACTTTAATGTAGCATTGCAGTTTTCAGTCCCTGATGCAAAAGTCAGCTCAGGAGTAGTTAGCTCTGCTGAGGGCTGTGCAGATACAGCTTGTGTATGGCTGAGTCAGCTGTTCCAGATGTGAATGGAAGTCTATGAAGAGACTCTGGAGAAGTTCAGAGATGTTCTCCCTGGTGTGGGCAAGGGGACGACCAGCTCCTACAAAACAAATCCTTAACAAGCATCTAACAGAATAGGCTTTCAACAGCAGCTGAGGACTCAGGGTAAAGCTTCTAAACACTACCATGTATGCATTACCATTTTCTATCAGTTTTTCAGCTTCTACAAGGTTTTCTTGGAAAGCTCTGCCAGTGCATCCCAGGCTGATGAAGTAACGGGTCATGGCGCCCTTATGTCTGCTAAGAAATCAGATTTATAGCATATCTTCCCACACATCTTTAAAAACAAGCCTGATTAACAAGATTAATCACTGAAGCTTGTTGTAAGAACACGCTGTTTTGGTTTCATGGCTTTTCTTTTTTCTTTCTCTTTTTTTTTGCAAGCTATTGGTTTAGTAAACAGAGAGAAACCCCATTGTTTACAATCACCTATTCCATGTTAGTTATGTCATGTGGATTGTTGACTTCTGTCTCTAAAAAGAATGGGCTCCTAACAAAAGTCTTCCCATGTTTAGATTGTTTAAAAGGAATCAGCTGTGTGAAGTGAGTCAGTCTGTCCCACTGAGGACTTTCTTTAGGGAGGGCTGTCTTTCTTCTTTGTCCGTGTCTATCCACATGAAAAAATTAGGAATTTCACATTTTTAAGGCCACACCTACACTAGAAAAAATACATCAGAAGTGGAAGTGTGTGTGGTAAGGGTCTAATGTCCACACTACAAATATTTAGCTGGGTCTCCTGGACCAAACACCCATGGCCATTTGGTGTGTTTTATGTACACTTTAGGAGCACATCTTCCAGGATAGTTTCATCTGAATTCAGTTTGTGAACTACAGAACCACTCCAAGGTAACAGCCCAAGTGTGGTAAGCAATGATAGTCAGGAAATCCACCACAAAAGCTTCCTCTGGACTCTGTTGGACAGATTGATCCGATCCAGCCAAATGTTCTGCTGAGCAGATATGCACATTTATGAATGCATACATATACATTATGCCACAATTTACTTCCCCAGGACTTGATGTAAAAATGTTAACCTTCTGCTCCACAATGAGACTGACTCATTTTGCTGTCCCCTGACATTTACCCTGCACTATTAAGAGCCATGAACAATTTATCTGCTTCCAAGAACTGGCTGATGAAAAGTGCTGCTGACTTTCCATTTTACCTTAGAATAAATATATCTTATGGATGCTATTCTATGTATTAAATATATAGATGAAATAGACTCCAAAGGAATGAGAAATTCCACTTTTTGAAACAGTACTTTGCGTTAAATACAGTTGTACTGGGACCTCTGATAAAAATCTCCTTGTAGCAGGAATACTACACAACCTTGCAGCTTTACAGTTTTAAGCAGTGATGTATTAGTTAGATATTTAAATATCTAACTCAAGTTTTCTGCTTTGCCATGTTACATAATACTGTATATTTAAGATGAATAAGCAATAGTCACCTCCAGAATACACACAAAAATAATTTGCATGGGCAGAAAATAGACACACATTCTGTTGGTGGCTTAAAACCATGTTCACCTGTAAACATACATTAGCATCACCTTCAGGTCTTTGCACCCCACAGAATAACCACAGAAATGAGAGAAACACTGTGATGTATATTTCACCTCTTTGTAAAAAGAGCTATTTAAGTAGCTCTCTGCCTAGGGAAAACATTTTCCTGATTCTGCAGGTGTGTGTTTTCTTCCCTGGACCTGACTAGATGTGTAATACTGCATTTTTCAAACTCTTGCTCCTGTTTAAAAGGACAAGTTGTGATACAAAATTGTAACTCAGCTCCAGGCTGCTACTTCACAACATGTTCTTACAGATGATTATGTCCTTACAGACGAGTATGTTCAGGCTCTCCCCTCAGGAATGACAGCAATTTCCTCCTGCCCAATTCTGTTTGCTTGTATTTTGAAGTGTGTTCTGACCAACAGTGTTTTCAGACTTCATTTTGAATATATTTTTCTGTTGCAGGTATTTGGCCATTGTTCACCCACTGAAACCACGCATGAATTATCAAACAGCAACCTTCCTCATTGCCTTGGTCTGGGTCATCTCCATACTTGTAGCTATTCCATCTGCATACTTTGCTACTGAAACCGTGCTGTTTATAGTGAAAAACCAGAAGAAATTTTTCTGTGGCCAAATTTGGCCAGTTGACCAGCAGATATACTATAAATCATACTTTCTCTTCATCTTTGGCATTGAATTTGTAGCACCTGTGATTACAATGACCTTGTGTTACGCCAGGATCTCTCAGGAGCTTTGGTTTAAAACTGTCCCAGGATTTCAGACGAAACAAATCAGAAAGAAGCTTCAGTGCAGAAGGAAAACTGTTATGGTACTAATGTGCATTCTGATTGCTTATGTTCTCTGCTGGGCACCTTTCTATGGTTTCACAATTGTCCGGGATTTCTTTCCCACCCTCTTGGTGAAAGAGAAGCATTATCTTACTGCCTTTTACATAGTCAGGTGCATTGCCATGAGTAACAGCATGATAAACACCATGTGTTTCGTAGCCGTGAAAAACAACACCATGAAGTACTTCAAGAAGATCATGCTGCTCAGATGGAGGTCAACGTATAAGGGAAGCAAATCTAGCACAGATTTGGACCTGAGAACAAGTGCAATGCCAGTCACAGAGGAAGTAGACTGCATAAAACTACAATAAATGTTCTGAGGGTCCAATCTCACCTTTCTTGGAGAGGGGGTAAAGAGGAAATAATACCTTCTCAGAAGCTTCTTCCTTGTCTGTGGGAATACCCACCACTGGTGAGAGCCCTCCAAAAAGAAGCCTACTTTTCATTCCCACCAGAACTCTTCTCACTGGACTGCTGGATAATCCTTAAGCTTGAACAGATGCTGTGCTTCAGTTCATACATCTGTCAATTTGGGATGTAGACACTAATTTTATAGTGGTTTAATAAGAACAAAGAAGTCTATAAATGCTTTAGAGTGAACTACAATGATGGAAAAGTTGAGCGCTGACCCTAGCAGTGATGCTTTTTTGTTTCTTAAGAGAAACCTCTTAACACCTTTGAGCTTATGACTTGTACCTATTTGGTATTAAGCTATTTGGTGTCCTTTTCTTTCTGCTCAGAAGGATGCCAAAAAAGCCCATTTTGCTTCCTGTTACCCTCTAACCTCTCCGTTTACCCCTCCTAATGAAGCTTCTTGAAGACCACCAGCTTTCTCTTGTCATTGGACAATATGCACAGCATGTTTTTATGAAAGGCATATGCTCTGAGAGCCAAAATCTGCTTCACAGTCAAGTGAAAACCTCATGTCTCTTCCTGTTACACCTTGTTTAAGAATGCTTTATCAATATTCCACTCTTTAGTTTTATGGAGAGTGTTACTCTGTTATGTATTTGGAAATGCCACAGATACATATGAAAAGGATCTACTCCCTCACCTTCAGACACCCTGTGGCCAGCTTCTGCTGCCTTGAGATGCTGAGCTCCTCACAGAATCAATCACAAAATTGTAGAACTTGGGAATAACACCTCCACATTGTCTAGCCTATCCCTCTGCACACATTAGCCAGGATTGTGTCCAGCTAGGCTTTGACTGACTCCAGGGAATGCTGACAGTCTCCTTGGATCACCAGTGTCAGTGTTCCACAGCTCTCACTCAGTTAAAAAGTGTTTTCTTGTGTTCAGATGGAGTTTCATGTGTTTTACCTTGCTAGTCAGTGGGATCCATATAAACCTACAGCATGGTGGTGGGAAAAATCCAACCAGACATCTTACCAAGTCTGTGTGCACCTTCACAATAAAGGATAAGCAACGCCAAAATACCAAGGAGATCTTGAGATGATCCATCCATCTTTCTGGGAGCAGGACAGGCTTAGGCTTCAGCGAGCCAGCCACTGGTTGAGTTGAGAAGCTTGTTGTTTGCTCAGGTATGACACAACTCCAGATGAATTCTGCTTTTCCTTCCACAGTGCTTCTTTTGCTCTTCTGATTTAGTGCAACTCCAGTTTGGATGTTTCTTAACTGATAATTGTGGCAAAGCAGGTGACAGTAACAGTAATACCTACTCATTTCAACTACATGTATAATATCATGGACTTCTGTGTATGGAAATAAAATCTTTTCTGTTGTGATGACAAATGCTTCCTGTTTTAAAGTACGTGGTTGTGCCTACTTTTGAAGTAAAATGTTTTGGTAAATAACTTGTCTATTTGTGAATTTAAAGTGAACAGCAAACCCTGCAAATAAAACATGGCCTCAGTATAAGCATTCTGAATTAATTTTTGTCTTTTTCTCTTAGCCATCACTTTCTTACCCAGCTGAGTAATGTGAATGATCCCATTGCTGCTGAAGAAAAATTGACCAATTGAATTTAAGGGCAAAAGGATATTCAAATCCATTCAAATGCTCAAAGCCTCTCGTCATTAGCTGCTCTTAAATATATGTTGAAGAGTATTTTGTCATTTGCTGTTAGGCAAAACAATAACTGAAATCATCCTTCAAAATGTCAGTTTTGAACAGGGGTAAGTACTAAATCCATTTGTTTTCCAGCCTGCCACAGAAATTTAAAGGAGCAGAGAGTTGTAGTATTTCACTATCAAATGGCTTAGTCTTGTAATCTCACCTGAAATCTCATGGTACCTTCTGAAACATGCCTTAGTTGTAAGGGATTATCTAGCATTACTGCCTGTTATTAGGGTGTGTGATACTCCTTCCACCTGTTTTCCCTACATGGTTTTGGTGCAACAAAGTCAACTGACAATTTCCACACTAGGGTAATCCATCTAAGGCCGAGTTAATAAAAAAACCACAATTTCTGCCAAGAAATACAGTACTGAACAAAATCTGGGGCAAAGAATTACATTAAAACTCTGGAAACCACCTCTAAGAGCTCCAAGAGAGCTCTTGTGGTCTGGCCTAACCACTGTTCTCATCTCTGTGTCTGCCAAGGGTATTAAAGCAGCATCCTTCACAGGCCCTGCTGAAGGTTTAGGTTTTGGGACTGCTGTATTTTTGACATTTTGAGGTCCTCCAAGCAAAAAAGCAGTGTTGCTGCCTGAACCTCTGGATAGGGCAGGAGAAGTCACGTTTTGCCCTCAACTGCATTTGTTGTGAGCTGCATCCACAGAGAGAGGGTGACTCCCACTGAGGAAGGGTGGCAGCTCTGCTCCCTGATCCAAGCACGAAGCAGTCACATTACCCTTAGTCTGCGTCAGCACCGACTCCAAACAGCCCAAAACAGGGCCCTTTCAGAGACATAAACTGAGCTCCAGCAAGCAGAGGCCCAGGGCTTTGCCAGGGGACCAAAAGTCACTTAAATACTCCTGAAGTGTGTAGACAGTGGGAACAGGATGTGACCCAAGTGGCTACCTCAGGCAGGGGGGAGCAGGAGGGAAGGGTCTGAAGGAGAGGACGAGACCCCACATTCCCTAGGGCTTACCTGAGCTGTGCAGGGAAGAAAAGAACAAAAAGGCTTTTTTGTACCCTCATAACTTACTAAAGGACAACATTTAGAGAGGGAATTGAATATGGACTGCACCTACCTGGAGCTCTGCTTGTAAACAGAGAAAGACAAGCACAAGCTGGGAAGTGGGCAGCACCTGTCTCAGAGAAAGCTGTGCCTTTCCAGAACAACTCCTGCCTGCTGGAAGCTGCCTACTGTAAGCTCTAGGAAAACAGCTGCAGTAAGGGCTCCATCATGCAAGAATTGTGCCTTGTGTCATGGATGAGGAGTGGGTGGGACCAGATATCTTTTGGCAGCGTTTAGATCACCATGCAGTGAATCAACCAGATGCTACCATGTCTCAATTGTGGCCAGTGTGGCAGCTAATTTTTGCCGCCAAATGCACAACTGTGGTGCTACCAGACCAGATCTGGAGCTCTGCTTGTAAACAGAGAAAGACAAGCACAAGCTGGGAAGAAGGCAGCACCTGTCTCAGAGGAGAAAGCTGTGCCTTTCCAGAACAACTCCTGCCTGCTGGAAGCTGCCTACTGTAAGCTCTAGGAAAACAGCTGCAGTAAGGGCTCCATCATGCAAAAATTGTGCCTTGTGTCATGGATTAGGAGTGGGTGGGACCAGACGTCTTTTGGCAGTGTTTAGATCACCATGAAGTGAATCAACCAGATGCTACCATGTCTTGGTTGTGGCTAGCTCCAATTTGTACTGCCAAATGCACAACTGCTCAGCTGTCCTCCTGCAGCACAGCTTCATAGCCTCACTTCCTTCTACAGCAGCTTCTCCAGGGATAACTTGAGAGGAAAATCCAGTCTCTGCTCCTTCACGCTGAAAAACATAAATCCGGGTGCACCTGGAAGCTAAAATTGTGACCTGAAATGGCTAAGAGAGCATTAGGAGAAGAAAAAGCAGCTATTCTCAGCAACAGGCACTGAGAAAACAAAGGCTGTGTCATTAAAGCAACTGTTCCTCTACAAAAGGAGGGTGACCTGCAAGATCCCAGACCAGCGTACACCAAAGTAGCCAGCACAGAAAATTTCCCTTGAGACTGACTGACTCATTCAGGAGCTGAGACTTTGCTGTGATCCTTATTCTTAGAGCCTTTCCCGTGGCAACAGCACCCTCCAGCTGCTGTCTTTGCAGCACAGTGTCACCACAAACTGCATCAGCTCACATCAAACACCATGGGAATGGCATCAAGCAGGTATTCCCAGGATTACTATGACTCCAAGAAGTAGCAACAAATACTTCAGCTTCTGACAGCTGGGTACCCAGGCACTCATCCAATGCTTGTAGTGTCTGCATTCTCCCTCTCCCTGTACTGGCAGGGCTGTGACAGATGCTGGGTGTTTGGGCTGTCCCCTTTCTAAATACTCCATACCACCTGTGCAGAAAAACACACACCATTGAGCAGAAAAAGCAGAGCTGAGGCAAGATAGACACTTGTCCCTCAGACTCATGGAGACCTTGCTCTTTCATACACTCTGTTAGGATCCTGTCCTACAGGCTTTGCCAGGATAAGCCCTAACTCACAGACCCAATTATGTTGGGAAAGACCTCTGAGATCCCTGAGTCCAGCCTTTGGCCAAACACCACCATATCAAACAGACCATGGCACTGAGTGCCAGTCTTTCCTGAAACACCTCCAGACACAGTGACTCCACCACCTCCATTGTAATGTCTAACCCTTTTTGTGAAGGAAATTCCTCCTAAAGTCCAACCAGAACCTCCTCTGGTGCAGTTTAAGACTATGTGCTCTTATCCTGTTTCCTGGGAGAAGAGACTAACTCCCACCTGGCTACAACCTCGTTTCAGGTAGTTGTGGAGACTGGTAACATCACTGCTGAGACCCATCTTCTCCAGGCCAAACAGACCCAGCTACCTCAGCTGTTCCTCAAAACCACTGACAAGTCAGGAATTCCTGCAGCTTCAAAAGTGACCTTCGTAACACCAGCCAGAACAAAAGAACGTGGAACAAATCCCAGTATAAAAGTCACCAAATAATCATGGATAGTTAAGAAATACTGCTGAGCACAAAGTGTAAAGTGTAAAGTCACTTTCTTCAAAACCAAGACTAAGTGACAGAAAACACTAAGATGGTAACACTTTCCTGGAGAAAGGCATCCCTGAGCTAAAAAGGAACATTAAAAGTCCATGAAAACTCCACCCGCTCATTTGCTGATTGCAGAAGAAAAAATGTGGAAGTTAACACATGGAAAGCAATCACTGGAAGCAAGAGGATCTGGGAGCACAGCACTCTGAAAGCACCAGGGGTGACGTACTGCTCCAGGATGGCTCTGTAAAGTGCTCCAGTATATGGTAGGCACTGTAGAAATTAAGAAGAAAAAAAAAAAACCACAGGGTGAAACACCCCTGAAAGGCAGAGCTTCTGAAAAAGCCAAATAGGAAAACACCTCAAAAAACACCAAAAGAGGTGTGAAGAACTCCTTGGCTCTGTAAAGTGCTCCAGTATATGGTAGGCACTGTAGAAATTAAAAAAAAAAAAAAAAAACCACAGGGTGAAACACCCCTGAAAGGCAGAGCTTCAGAAAAAGCCAAATAGGAAAACACTTCAAAAAACACCAACAGAGGTGTGAAGAACTCCTCGAGGGCCATGTGGTGACACTCTCCAAAAAATACCAGGAGGAGGAAACTGGAAGAGTCAGTAAGCAATATGCAGTCAAGAACTCCTCTGTGAGGCTTTGATTAGCAACTCCAGTAAGAGTTAGGAAGCAGTGTAGTGAAGGAATCCAATAGAATTCAATATAAGATTCCAAAAAGAGCAGCATCTCGTGGCAAAGGAATCCTGAGGCTCGACAAAGAGAAGGGGCTGCAGGCTAAAGGGCTCCTGAGAGATGGCACCATGAAGGGTGACAAAGGAAAGAGGCTCCTAAGGGGTCTCAAAGAACTGGCTCCTGCCGGGTATAATGAGCACAAGACAATAAAACCCTACACCGCATACAGTGCAGAATACAATACAATACTGTATCATAGGCTACAACAGCTACACAGGAAACCATAATATAATGCAGTACATACTCTGCAACACATTCAAAGTATGTAAACTACACTAAACATGAATGACAGCACCATAATGAAAGAAATGAGAGGGATGTGTCTTTACAAACAAACTGTGGGTCTGCTTGCAGATAAATAGGTGAAAGAAGCAAATTCCACAGGAATCCCACTGACACATCCCACAGACTGTTGCTTATCCAAGACCATTCTAAATTCCTGGACTTGGAGAAAAAGAACAGCAATACAAAGAAAAATGGAGGAATGGGGTGGGGGGTGCACATTAGAAGGGGTTCTGTATTAGGCTATATCAGGAAGTCTGTACCTCTCAAGTACCTCCGCCAAGGAGAGGAAAATGAAGCAGGGAAATGAGGACAAAGAGGAGGCTGCATCCTCCAGCAATTTGAGAGACCTAATGGGAAATGTCCCGTGGCCTCTCTCTTTATTCGAATAAAGTTGCAGGATTCCTCTGTCTCCTTTTAGGACATAAACCTCTGTGAATTAATTTTCCTAACAATAAAATATAGTAAATACCACGTGGTACAGTACACACTGTAACACACAACCCACTCCTCAGCCTTTGAAGAAACCTGCTAGGCCCTCCTGCCCTGGAGAGCTCCTGTTTTACTGAGGATCTGCATCTGTGTTTCTCTGGTCACTCTCACCTCACCTTCCCTGTGTGCCCAACAAACAAGAGACACACAAGCAGCACAAATCCCATGGCAGCTTTTCCCCAATGCCAGATGCCACCACGAGGCCCTGACATGGCACTGTACCTAAGAGGCAGACAGGAATTCCTCACCCTACTGAGTGAATTCACCTTGTGGGAATGCCCTCCCTTTTGGCAGAGGGAAGGGGACCTGAAAGGAACCAATCTGACTTTTCTTTATGTCTCAACACATGTTATACAGAGGGTGAAAAATTACTACAGGGGCTGTTAGACATGCTGGGAGCCTTAACATGGACCATGTGGTAAGGAGGCAGAAAATGGAGGTGTCAGGAAAATTAATCCACGATGTCAGAAGTTTATGTCTTTATGGTGGGATGCCCCTGTGTCCTGGCAGTAATGCTGTCCCTGTCTTCTATTGCTCCCTCCATCTCTCTTTCCCCCTCTCTGCTCTCTTTTCTATCCCCCTCTAGCTGGTTCCATACCCTTTCTTTACCAAGAAACAGTTCTCAGATATAATATTGCCACATTGACGCTTTATTTTTATCTGAGAAATCTGTCAAAAAGAATGCTTCCCCTTTCAGCAGAATCTGTAAGGATCAAGATGACCCTACAAGAATGGAAGTTTTCAAGTGCCAAGGGGGAGTGTGTAATGAAGTTTTTTGAGGTAGAAACAGGCAGCAGCTGAGGTCCACAAGGTCCAGCAGCTGAGGTCCACAAGGTCCATCCCCAGTGCCCAGCCTCTGAACTGCAGGGACCTGAGGCTGCACAGCCCCATGTTGCAGCCTGGACCACACCACTCCTGTGCCCCAGAGGAAAGCAGCTTGTCCCTCTGCCAGCATGAGGCTGGCTCCCCCTCCTCCTCTTCCTCCAGAGAGCACTGTTCCAGCCTGTGGCAGCTGCATGCACCTGCTTGTGGAGGTGCCTCCTGGGCAGGACTGAGCTCCTCTGAGACACAGCCCAGCTCAAGCCAGGTCTGTGCTCTCCTGCCTCCTGGCCATGAGGGCAGCTTCTCCTGAGGCCAGCAGCTTCCTTCACAGGGAAACTTTCCTGCCCAAGACAGCACAGCATGACTGATGGGAGCAGGAGATCTCAGGGCTGCTGAGAGCTGAGCCTGCACACAGCTCAACGCAGCAGTGGCAAGGCCCAGGCAAGGCTTGATTTGATTTCCCCTTGGCAGTTTTTCCTGTAAGACGACCCTCTTCACAACAAGACAAGCACACAAGCTCAGTCAAAAACCAGGGCATTGGAGTTGTAGAGGGCACATCCACAAAGTCCTCCTGAAAAGTCCGTAAAACCAGCTGGTGCGCATTGGGATGTCATCTTAAAGCCATACTAGAATGCTTCTCCTGCTGAACTTCAGGACTTTGACCAAAAAAGGTGCCAAATTCACAGGGCTCCAGTCATCTGTCCCAAAATATAGTAAAACCTTTCCAGGAAGCTCAGAGGAGTGATGAACACACTGAAGGCAAGATCTTCCAACAACATCTTTAGAAATCAGAGTCACGGTTACGTGCTTTTCCCACTGTATGTTACAGGTTTAAATGTGCAAAAATACAGACACCAAGACTTTGCTGAGAATTGGAAACAGTTCCAGTAATGTACACAAAAAGAGGCACTATTGTAATTAGAGCAAAGTGGTTCAATGCATTGAGATCCTGTTCTCAAGTGATTTAGATAACCTGTATTTGACTACTGTGCCCCAAGAGAACCAACAAAATAACACCTGGGAAAGATAGAAGCAGAATAATGAAGTTTTAAAACTGCACTAACTCAACAATAAAAATGGCTTAGGCTTTCCTACCAATATTTCTTTCAAGCACAGGAAGATGAAGTTTTAACAACCTTTAGAACTGTATTTCAAAATACAAGATAACAATGGCATTGCAAAAAAAAAAAAAAAAAAGAGAAAAACCTGAAAATTTTTAGAGCTTTATCCTCTGGGTCCACAACTTAATAAAATAAACACCACAACAGTCCCAAAATAATACACATGGATAAGAAAGGCATTGCAGAATCCTCTCATCCCCATTATTATCTTCCTGTATTGCCTATATCATGAAGAAAAAAATTTTCAAACAATTCCTCTCCTTTGTGCAACCATGTTTTAACATAACCACACTGAACATTTATAAGGCTGTTCTCAGCAGCTATTTTTTGATCCTAACAAATCTACGTGTTTCTTGCACACGTGTGTCAACATCTTCGTTATCCTTTTCTTCTGAACTTGGTTCCCAGTCCGAGTCTTCATCAGTAGCTTCACACTCCTCCTCCTCCTCCTCGTCTGTAAAGCGGTCATTGAGGTCACAGTCATTGGCTTCACCATCATTGACACTGTCCTTCTTCACAGCCCTTTTTCCTGTAGGGACAAAAATGTCATGTGTTCATGACTAATAAATGTAGAGTTCAAGATCCCTCCCAGAGCCCACATATTAAAGCATCTCTCCTCACAAGAAAGAATCACCTAAACAGTACATCTATCTTCCAGTTAAGCCTCTATTGCTAGGTGGCTACTCTGACCCTAAATTTTTTGCCTCCATCCATCCATCCATCCATCCATCCATCCATCCATCCATCCATCCATCCATCCATCCATCCATCCATCCATCCATCCATCCATCCATCCATCCACCCATCCTTTATATTCTTAGTCTTTGGAAGCTATCAGATTCACATGAGAGAAGAAAATCTTCTAGATCACTCACCTCCTATGTTCTCCACTCGCCTTCATGCTGGATAGTCTGTGCTTCCCTTTTGAAAGTCATTTCCTTCAGAAATGCATCTGTGACACCTCTTTTGTTAAATTCCTAACTAGCCATGGTCTGTTAATATTCCAATTACGTCTTATTCTATCCTTAAGTCACATCTCTGAGTAAAATCATGTTCATACCTCTGCCTCCCACCCTCCCAGTTTTCCATTCTTACCTTATCTAGAAATAACCACACAATGATATTGGTCTAGCTAACTTATCTGTTGAGCAGTTGTCACCAGCTTTCATATGAAACTATGAATATGGGTTTTTTTCTTTAGCTACAGACCACAGCCCAAATCCTAACTCTTTAAATTACCCATAAACAACTCTCAGCAAACTCTTGAAACCTCAGGTCAGAGCTCCAGACACAAACACCACCACCAGTACCTCACAGTCTCTTTTAGTAACACTTTTCTGTGAGTGGAAATGCTCCTGTTCCAGAATTACCTTCCTTCTTATGCTTGCTGGCTTGTTGTTTAACAGACTTCAGAGGAAATTAATCATGCCATAACTGGGAGGGCAAGCTCATTTCAGGATGTTTCCTCCCAGTTTGTCTTAAACCAGGACACTGTGTTACCCATAACCAGCAGAATTTCTTAGAATCACAGACTATAGTCCTTGCAAAATTAATTATGTCTTGGAGGTGAGCGGTCAAAATGAAGATGCTGAATAAAGTAAGAAAAAAATCCCCCTTCTCAGACTAAGGTTATGAGAATAATATGCCCAAGAGCTGCTTATCAAAGGAAAGCCCTTTGCCACTTTCACAGCACTTTGAGTGGTATTTTACAACACAAGCAGGAATGCTGGCGAAATACTGATACTTTTCATATTCTTCTTACAAATATAAGAAGTGCATACTATGTTCTCCCTCCCCATATATCAACATTTTGATTTTAGCAGTGATAGACTTCCTTTTATGCCTTTCCCCTCCACTTTCCACTGCAGTTTAATTCAGCCCTGCAGCCCCTAAAGCTGATGATTAAGTTCAATTCTGCCTTTTCTCTAGTAGCTGATCTATATAAAGATGACCTTGAAACTTTCTATGGAAGCATCTCCTTGATGTGGGGAAAAAGAAGCTTGCTGACTGCTCCTTCCAAAACATTCTATTTTGAAGTGAGCTTATCAGCTTGCTAGAAAACCTACACAAAAGTATGTAGGAGAATCCTGCATATTCCAGGATTATTGGGTGTTATTCATCTCAGCAGCAGCAACCCAGAGAAGTCATTCAGTAGTGACAATTTAACAACAGCAGAACTCTGACTTTTTTTTTTCAATTCCTTCCCTACAATTATTCCCCAGTAATTTTCCTCTGATTATTTTTCAAAACATTCTCTACAGGCAATTCTGGCAGCAATTAGACTTAAAAGCTAAACATGTTAACTGTCATGTGGAGGGCTCCCCTCTTCTCTTGGCTGGTGGAATTTAAATACACTTGCAGGGAGTATAATCCTGCTGTGTCTAACGGTGCAGTTGTGCCAAATATGACAAAATAAAGTTTAATGGAGCCCTTACTGTCTGTCTGACCCTGCAGGATGTGGTATGATGGCCTCTGGTGTGAACTTGCTGAGCACCACCTTTTATAAACTTTGCCCTCCACAGAGCTAAGTAAACCAGTCAACAAAACATTACATTTTTTAAAAATAGTAAATATAAACAGAACTTAATAAATTAATTCCCTTCTTTCCTGAGTGTGCAGAATATCAATTCTTCCACAGTTTGTTCTTAGTAAGAAAAGCTAAATCTGACAGACTGAATTTCACTTCTGTGTGCAAGTTTTACATGCTACAAGAGCAGCCCTTCTTCCTTCAGTTACCCCTGCCTGACCATCAGCTGCACACACAGGGTGTGTGGTGTAGGGTGCACCCTACTATTTGGGTAAGGAATGTGGTTTTATGAGAGGCACAGCTGCAGTTTAAAACCTTCAAGAACAGATCTTGGACTTTTAGATATGCACACAGCCTAGCCTGCTTCATTCTGAAATTTTCACCACTCAGCACCCTACTATTTGGGTAAGGAATGTGGTTTTATGAGAGGCACAGCTGCAATTTAAAACCTTCAAGAACAGATCTGGACTTTTAGATATGCACACAGCCCAGCCTGCTTCATTCTGAAATCTTCACCACTCTGTGCATGCCTCAACACTTTGCAACACAAATTTCTACCACAGACCTCTGATCAGGATGGGGCTGGTACTTGTATCACAGGATGCACTAAAGCACACGGGTGACAAACATGCCTCAGAATATGCTGGTGCACAGATATAAGCATAGCAAATATTTGGTGATAGCTAAAGTGCACACAAACTTGATAAGAAAACAGTATGGCAAAGAAATTTCTCAGTGGAAAGTTTAAAACAACTTCCTGCATTCACCCAGAAGAGAAACAGAGGCCAAAACACTTTGCCTAGAAAGCTAACTACAACTCTTTGCACTTTTATTTACTTTCTGTAGAAAGCAGATCTATTTTTAAAATTTCTTTAGGAAATTCCCAGCCACTCCTTGGTGATCTCGAAGAAGGCAAGCCAGTTCCCACTCCCACTCAAAATGCAACAGTTCTACACCCTTCTGCCTTACTCTGGCCACTGAAAGCAAAGACTGCACAGCATCAGACTTTCAGACTGCTCTTTAAACCTCACTTCATTTTAGAAAGCATACGAAGAAGCTTCACATTTGGAAGACAATACACAAAAGAATCCTGGAAGCAGACCTAAGCATGTGTCCTGGGTTGGGTATTCTACTCCTATCTGTTAGAGGTGGGGTGGTTATCTTCTGTTAATTGGGCAGTTTTCTTTATCTGTTCCACAACCAATCCTCTCTCTGGGAAATATCTTCTCTTAATGGGCCATTGTGTCTCACTGCATGGCTGATAAAAATACATCATCCCACTGTGAGAAGCTCCACCCAGGGGGAGGAATCAAGCATTCCTACCTGGATATAATCTGAGATTTGGAACACCACAGGCAGCCTTTTCCCACTGCATTCCCAGAGGCGCAGCTTTCTTCTCCACTGCATTCCCAGAGGAAGACCAGGCCCATCTACACCACTACTGGGCCTTCAGAGGAAAACTACACCCTTCTACTGGATGACTGCTCCAACAGAACCACATCTGTCACTGCAGGAGCACTGCAGCCACCATCCAACTGGACTGCTACCACCACCCTGACCCACAGAGTGTCAGGTTGTATTCTGACTCTGTCAGTGTTATTTTCTTTGTACTATTGCATTTGTATTTTCAGTTTTCCTAGTAAAGAACTGTTCCTATCCCCGTGTCTTTCCCTGAGAGCAAATTAATTTCAAAATTATAATATTTCAGAGAGAGGGGGTTTATATTTTCCATTTCAAGGGAGGCTCCTGCCTTCCTTAGAAGAAATCTGTCTTTTCGAACCAAAACAGCATGTTTAAAACTTGAGTCTGTGTGCCCCCAACATACAGAAACTTCTATACTTTGATCCTAACAAGCCCTGAAACATCAATACCTCACTGTAAGAGTAAGCAAGTTCATCAGCACGTGCAGATTATCATCTGGGAGTTATTTAAAGGTCAGAGGGAGTATCTCCATGCTGCAGGAGCAATCGCTCCTTACAAGGCAACCTTAACTAGCTGTGCATGAAATACTGGCTTCCTTTCACCCTATTATGGCTGCTGTGTAAAGAGTGAAGATAAAGAGTGATGATGGAAGACACCATTTAGTCATATGTGTCTCTCCTTAAAACGTTTGTTTTCTTGTCTGCTTCCAGGAAAATACAGGTGTGATTATCCAGGAAGACTGGCACAAATGCAACTGAAGGAATATTACTGGTAAGAAAACAAGAAAGATTTTACTAAAATAATGACTACTTTCTCCTCAGCTAAGTATTATCAAGCATCTCCAGCACTATTAAATGCCAAAAGAGCCACAGCAGACCAACTGTGTCCCAGGTTGATGTGCCCACTCATAACTACAGAATACACTCACCATTGCTTGAAGCTCGTTGCCGTGTTCCTCTTCCAGCTACTAAAGAAAGGGAAATTGTCAGTCAGGACAGAGGGAACCCTGCCATAAGGGTTATTCTTAAAACTGCTACAACAGGAAACTGACCTATCAAACAAATGCTGAAATGGTTGTGCTCTACTTATAGGTATAAAAGCTACTCTGATGCCCCAAAAATATCATTTTTGTCTTGAATCATTCCCAAGAGATTACCCAGATAAATTGTTCTTAAAATTATTACCCCTGCCATCTGCAGACAAACGTCATCAATTCTGTTTTTAAGCAGGAAATTGGAATGTATTAGGGCATTTAAATATTTTACACTACTGTTTCCATAAATGCTATTTTTTCTTAATAATGTCACAGCCCTGAATCTTCAAAGTAAAATGCATTATCCTGACATATTCCTAAGTGTTCTGCTCTAAACTACTGTTTATCACACTGGGATTTCAGGTGGAAAAACTCCAATCCAATAATCAAGAGAAAGCACCCCAAAAAATAAAACCAAGAAGTATTTTTAAGAGCAGACAAAATGTAAACAGCACATTCCCCTGAGTTTTTTCACCAAATCGAGTTACTAGAATATAAAAAGACTACAAAGTGTTAGATTAGGAACTCAAATTCAGTTTTAGTTATATTCCCTGCAGGCCTCAAGAGAACATATATGCAAGAATTAGTTCTCACAGTAAGAAAATCACTGGTAAAAAAACCCAATACAAAAAGATGACAGATATGGTTGCAGTCTTTTGTTTAGAGCATCAGAATACTTTAAAATTTTATCTTACCTGAGAATTTCTGATTAAAAAAAAAATCCCAGAAAAAAAATAATCCTAATACAGAGGGAGCTATAAATGCAACTTTATTCCCTAACGGGAGATTAAAGCATTTTATTGACATGGACTTGATGGTCCTTGTGGGTCCCTTCAATTCAGAATTTTCTGTGATTCTGTAATATTGAACAAATTGGCCCACCTGGAGGTGCACTGTGCTTGTATTCTAGCTTGTGCTGGGGGTTCTTCCTGCAAAGAAGAAAACAGTAAAAGCTTGATTCCATCATCTTGTTCCACATTTAAAAAGTGCAGAATTCCCTGGTATTTTATGGATAATTTTCAAGACACAGCATTTAGATCAGTCAATTAATAGCCAACAGATAAGGACAACAAAATTAACACAAAACCCCTTCAAATTATATCTGTTGCTTCATCAAAATAATTATCAATTTTTCATGGGTGCCTCCTTTCCTCTATCTCCAAAGAATGAAACACAAATTAAGAAATTACCAACTAATGCAACACAGAGGTTGTCTCATCTGGAAGGAGAGCCAGTTTGGGGTTTAGATCCGTTGTACTCCTGAGAAGCATGTTGGCAATTTCAGTACTGATATAAGTCTGTAATGCTCAGCCTGAGATGGAAAATTCATCTCATAGGTGTTTTTAAGAGAACCACTTCTTCTGCATTAGCTGAGTATCACCAAGGCTTTTTCCTAAGAGCTGTCCTCATTTTGTTACATTTCATGGAGAAATGGTTTTTAGGACAACCACACTTTCCAGGACAAAATGTTTCTGTGCAGAAACAATCTTTAACAGAAGCCACCAGTTTCAAAATTCTCCCATAGAAATGCTATTGCCTCAAAATATACCTTCTTGTCCATTGTGATAATTATGCAGTTCTGCTAAATATGTGAAACCTAAATACTGAAAAACAATGGAATACAACAATATTTCAAAGAAAATCAACAGTGCTTAAAAGAAACAGCAGTCAGCCACAAACTGTATTTTATTGCTGTTACCTCAATTATGCTTTGTAACAAGTCAAATACTGACTAAAATAGGTTTTTTTACAAAATCACAATAAATACATTACCAAAATCTAAACTAAAAGTTACAGATCAAGAACAGCATGTACCAATAAACTGCTTATATAAAAGAACAATTTACTGAATGTTGAACAGAGATACAGTGTTGATCTCCAGATCACTGAATAGGCTCTTTGAACAGCCAAGTTTTCATCTCTGACAGCTGACATAACTACCAAAATAGTGATTTTTACTGTGTCAATGTTAAACACATGCACAGACTTGGGTGCTTTAAGGGTAGCGGTGTGACCTCAGTAAATTCTGGACGGTTACAGCCAAAGTAAACATCAAGAATTAGTCATTATTTTACTGTCGTTCTGCAGCTGCAGGGGAGAACATTCTTAACCAAGAAGAGCCGTTTGGCACGTGTTTCTCACCTATAACAAGCTGTTCCATATGGACACTCGGGCCGGCTGTCATCGTCACCCTGAGCCACCATCCCCATGTCGTGATAGTCATCATCATTAGGATGACTGAACTGCTGGAAGTGAATGTGATTCTTCCTGCAAAAGACAAACACACACTGAAACTGACCCATTTCAACACAAGAAAGGACATATAAAACATGTTACTGAATCCTTGACTGCTCATTTTTCTGTGATTACATGAAGAGCAGCTTTTAATGTTTAACTTGATGCAGAATGTATGCCCTATTTTCAGGACAACAGAAGAAATTTTGTCTTAGCACCTGCTGCAACAGAGGTTAAACCAGGAATTTTCCTATTTCCCATTAAGTTTCAGACCTCCAACACATGCACAAAAGACTATTTGAATTACAAATTAGCATGCTGACATGAAGTTGTACCATAAAACACTAACACCTTCATGTGTAGCTGACTCACACCAGTGTTAGTGAGGACAACACAAGACCATCATCCACAACACTTGCTTTACAACACTTGAACCCGAGGTGAACATGTAGGGAACACAAATTTATGCAGCACTGAAAGAACATTTCTACCACTTCTAGGCAAGAGCATTGTACACACACCACTCAAGACTAGGCAGTCATAAACATCACTTAAAGAAGAGTTGTCTTCTTTCTAGAACTGTTGTAAGTGGAGTTAAAAAGAACACAGAAAATCAAGTTCCCACTTCAGGAGAAATTCATGTGACAGATAAAACAGGCTAAAAAGATTATGTCAAAATCAACATACTAGTAGCAAAAGCAAATCTACTTTTTCCCCTATAATTTCTTGTAGACTTTTTTCCCAAGTGTAATACTGAGAAGCAAGAAATGTGAGATTTTAAATAAATTATTTTCTAAAAGACATCTGCAAAATACTTTACTGATTACCACAATCATTCCCAGAGCACATAACCTCTAGTGTGTTTGTGCAAATTATAAAAGTGAGCTGCCTGCCTCAAGCAGGAGGAATAACAACTTTCAGCTACAGAGTAGCTTTAGCTTAGGCTTGCCACAACTGCATTTAGAAGCAGGTATGGAATATGTCAAAGACATGTGCAGCCACCTCCATACACAGCTACTTCCTCACTGATCAGAGAAACTCCTTTAAACTCACAAGTACCTCTTCTGAACTTCACAGAGGAGAGTCAATATTCATTTCAGCATTTCAACTACTTCTATAACAAAAGAGCATTTGTTACAGCTTTTACAGAAGGATGACTTAAACACTGCAAACTCTGCTGTCCATTCAGATCTCCTTTTAGCATTGGAGAAATACCAGCTATTTAGTATTAATTCTTTAAATCTCCATTTGCCAGACATCTTTCACTGAGGAAACTCCACAAGCAAGCTACAGATAAACTCTTCCATAGGCAACTTATCAAAAATTCAGTGTAACTTGGATCTACTTACATAGGTAGTAGGCCTCTTGTCCTGGTCTTTTGTTACTTCTATAAACTGTAGGATAATTGAATAATGTTTCACTAGAAACTACTGCAAGGTTGCAGTCTTTTATTCCATAACAAATTATCATGAAACATCACTTCTTGTGACAAATTCAGACTGGCTGCCTACTTCTTTCCCCATTAAAAATAAATGGGATGAAACCAAATCATTTAGAGGCCATTTGCCACTTTGTTTTCTTAATGCACAGAACTAACATACTTGCAGTAATAGCAAGAATTCTCAGTCACATGAAATACAATTTATCTTCTGAAAGGGATACAGCAGCAACTGATGTTCTCTGAATTAATTTCAATCCTTATTCCTACATCAAGATACATAAAACATCATAGTTGCCACGGAAAGAAAGACTAATAAGACTAATTAGTCTAATAAGACTAATAAGAAGGACTAAGAAGGAGCTGTCAATTAGCAGATTTTTTGTATTTTAGGAGATATCCATTTCCTTTTAAAACATTGCTTCAAGACCTACTTAGACAACACCAAACAACCTTTATTGAAGGGGTGGGGGGAAGAAAAAGAAGTAGGGGAGCAAGAAGGAAGAGCAACAGGAGAGTTATGATGTACAAGTCCTTGTCACTAGGCTTCAGGAGTCTTGGGCCAGTAGATGATGCTCCTCAAATTATACATTACCTGTGGAGCACCTCAAACATGTCCTATCTCTTGAATGTGTCCTACCTCAGATGCTCAGCAGAAACAGCCTATTTTATCTTAGCTTTACCTGGCTAATTTATACTTATTCTATGTGTAGTGCAACAATACCCTACAAACTAAAAGGAAGCAGAGAAGTGCATAGCTAATAAGCAGACATCTTCCCTTTTCTCAGAAAAACCCTAAGGCTTCTTCCTTAAAGGTTTTGTTTGGGGTTTTTTTAATTTATTTGTAGACATAAGATATTTGAGTTACAGGAGCACATCAATTACACTGTAAGCTGCACTCCAAAGTTAACTGTTTCACAACAAAGTCTCAATGCACAGCATTGTGTTAATTCATTTGATCAAAACAAAAGCATTAGGCTTTACTTGTATGAAAAGCAACCAATTAAAAGCCTATTTTAATAAGAAAGTTTTATTACTGTTGCCTTCATATAAACATACTGACACAGTAACTGCAGTTTTGCTTTCACAGAAACTCTAAATTTGTGTACCTAAAACTTCATGATCCAGGATACTATGTAAACTAAAACTATGCAAATAAAACTTTAAAACTTCTTCAGGATCAATGCAAACATCCTCAAGCAGAACTTGAGTATTGCTCAGTGAAATATTTAAGATGGTTACTCATCTGTGTAGCTATCAAAAGCAACTTTAAAAACTTTCTATAAATCAAATTTAAGTGACCAGTTCAGAATCCCTGACTCCTCACAATCCCATGCAGAAGATCCCTTGCCATCTCATGGGCTCATTTCTTCAGCTACTGAAAGAACCTCCTAGTGAAAATGTAATGAATTACCAGCACTGCTTATAAAGCCACAGAATTCAAGCCTGAAGTTATGCCATGACTGCACATAACATGTTTGTAAGTTCTATATTTTACCTCTTAATTAAAATATAGGAGACGGGACTAAAAAAAAAAAAAAAAAAGACAGATGCAGGTCTTTATCTGCCTGATTTACAAGCTTAGAGTGAAAGGAAAAATACTTATTTTCATAAACAAACAACCAGCAAAGTATTTAGAAGACCCCACAAACAAATCCAAACACTGGTTGAGCATTCCCTGCTCTGACAGTTCTGGGAGAGATCTACACACCCCCAGTCAGAATTGTAGAAGAAAGATTGTGAGTTCCAGTTTCAGAGATGAGAGTTCAGGTCTACTATACCTCTTCTGTGGTGGCCCTTAAAAAGTCTGGTGGTGGTAGATTTGTAATTCCCTATTCTGCTAACTTCAGAAAAGCAAGAAGCAGACGAAAACATGTGACAGCATTCAGAGGGTGAGTTCCTTGACAACAAATAAAGGCAGCTACAACACACACAGAGCACTTTGTCTACTAATGACAACAGCAGCTCCTTTGAATTTGGCCACCTCAGAAAGTGACACTGAACAAAGGTAACAAGAAGACTCCTTGAGGCAAGAGGTGTCCATCGAGTTTAACTCTTTCAAAAGCAGTGTTTTCAAATTCATAAATGAAGAAACTAAACTATGGGTTACACATTTACTTGCTAAATGTTTGCTACAGGCTAATAGAAATGTAGTCAAATAACTAGAACTAACATTTAATCTTTACTCTAACACACTTTTGCCACCACACATAAACCATTACTTAGGGGCCTTGAACTAAAAGCAAATACAAAGACAGACTACAAAGCATATTAACTAGAACTAACATTTAATCTTTACTCTAACACACTTTTGCCACCACGCAGGAACCATTACTTAGGGGCCTTAACTAAAAGCAAATAGAAAGACAGACTACAAAGCATACTTCTTTTGCTGTAAGCAAACAAGTTGAGTTTCATAATATTTCCTGAAGATCAAAGCTGACATTTTGATTCTCCCTATTTACAAACTTCTCTGACAAAGTAAGACTGCTATTTATTTCAGAGCATTCTTTTCTTTTTATAAAGCAATACTTTTCAAAAGTATTACTGCCAAATGTTTCACAATCAAGAGACCCAGGAAGAAATGTGCACAGACTCCTACTCCCTATTACCAGTACCTAAGATTAGCCATCCTAAAGATAAGGAATATTTCTTCAGAGCAGAGCATTAAATCTGCTTAATACCCACACAGGGCAAAACCTGTCTCAGCAAAATTCAAAGTAGCTGGAGTAAATCAGAGTCTGCATTTGCACTACTGGATCAACAGAACTGTCTAGTAAGACATGCTTTTGTCATAATCATTAAGGGGAAAAAATGAGATATGTCAAAGTTACATGAAAACCACATTCATGCTCATGAACACAACAGCTTTACAATTTTGATATTCAGTTATCTCAGCATCAGGCCCACCAAAAATACAGGAAGCCAGTCACTTGTTCTTGCTTGGTTCCTAATCACTCACTGCTTTTATTATTTCTGAAGCCCCTTGGGGGAAGATAAAAAAAGTCACAGGATCCACTGTTTCCTGGATTAGCCTTGTCTTTTGTATTTATGAAGTACACAGGATTATCTAGAGCTCTCCTAAATGTAGTTCACAGGTCACTGGGCATTTTCTAGACTCATAAGCACCTCTAGATTTCAGCCTTCCCTTCAATATAACACCACAGGACACCACAGATTTTTTCTGGGCAGAAAGAACTAGCAGGAAGCCAGGCACCCAGCACTGGTATTTTGGAACTTCTCTGGAACATTTGTGTGACAAACCTTCTACCACATCCATCTTGAAAGGATATGAATGAAAAGAAGAGGAAAAACCCCTGTTATTCCTCACTTGCAGTATTTCCAAAGACTGTCCAGATAAGGGTTAACCTCGAGTTCTAAGTCTGCTTTGTGCTGGTTTTAGGGGTGACTGAAAACTTTAAAAAAACTGCAGAAACACCAAGTTATAATAAGAGAAATTCTTGCTTATTTATGGATGACAAATACTAAGTTTTTTAAACATTCAGATCACAAAGCAGGCAGTAACTTCAATAAACACAATAATCTTTCATATAAGTCTCATCTGCTAAAAAAACAAACCTACAGGGTCTGTTTTGGGCATTTGAACCTTTCACATCTCTTCTCCCTGCTAGTACCTCATACCATACATACAGGTCTTTTATTTCTTTTCCTTTTATAATGGACCTTTATATTTTATTTCCTGCAACACTTCATCTTTTAGTTCGCTTAAGTACTTCATCCCTTGTTTGGGTTGTATTAAGAGTTAGCAAGACATGCTGGTTCCTCCTTTTACCCTTCTAGAATTAATGTTCTGCTATTTGTTTCTCATCAGACCCCTGTTCAACAACAGATTTTTTTCACAATCAAAGCTTATAACAACTTTACAGTTTTCTCTTCCATAGCTAATACATTATTTCGGAATAACAAGCTAGACCAAGCTAGTATTAATTTTGTTTACCTGTAACAGCCACTTCCATATTTGCAAGGTATCCTCTTATGCTGCACCTGTTTGGAGCTTTCTGAAGCATCTGCACTTCTGGCTGAATCAGAAATCTCAGTGCTGCAGTCCAGATTTGCATCAGGCTCAAGAATCCCTTCCTGGGCACCAAGATATTGGGAAGTCCTGTCCCAGTGAGCTTGTCGGCTTGTAGAACCAGCAACGTGCTCTTTGTTTTCTGTTTCCTCAATTCTGTTGTCTTTACTGGAGATCTGACCTACTCTTTTGCTATGCAGCTGCCTATCTTTTTTTTCCAGAGAATCCCCAGGGTTCTTTGTTCCAATCTTGCCACTTCCTTCCATATCTCTCATGGTAGTCTCAAGAGGAAATCTAGATGTATTCTGTGGAACAAGGTTACATTTCGGAGAAATTGAAAATACACTCCTCAGAATGAAAAGCTTTGAAGTAAAACTGTGCCTCATCATCCCTGCTTTCAAAACCAGTCACAGAACAGCCCAAGTTAGAAAGGACCTTGAAAATTCATCTGATTTAGACTTTAAAAATCTTCTACTCCACTTCCTAAACTCAAGTTCATGCTAAACACAGCTGCTGAATGAAAACCGCAAGTTCAGAAAACACACAGAGAAAAACTTATCTTAAAAGAAAAACACATCTTGAAAGAAAAACTTCTCTAACAGCTTCCTTCCTCAGTTTCATTTCCCTCACATGACCTGTTCTCTCATCACCTCAGGCTGTGAACAGTTTAAATTAACTTATAATTTAAAGTACTGCTCCTGAAAAATTAATGGGGATTATACAGGTGAAGATGTAGTAGACTGTAGAAGAATGTAGACTCCTACCCATGAATCAATTTAAATTATTAAGGAATCACTTACTAATTTAATGTGTTTCTTAATAATTTAAGCACCAAGATACATGGAGTATATATGTATTTATCTACACAGAAGATATATGGGAACTCAGGACACATACCCTGAGGTCAATCCCACACTGATACATCTTAAATGCTTCAGCTCATGACTCTAAATCACAACAGTCTGTCACAGACACCATTAAGCAAATATTTCAGCTTTGACACAAACTGCATTTTAAATTTTGGAAAAAAAAATGTACATTTAAAATAAGAAATGTCTTCTTTAGAAAAAGAATTTGAGATACACAACTGAGGAAAAAACACTGTCCTGACAATTGAGACATTACCTGGAAACATACTACATTCAAGGCTGAACTACTTTGATACATCATAGAACTATTCAAATGTCTGTGCTTTCTAAAGATTATTATCTATCTTTCCCCTCCAGTAAATTTATACTTAGTTTACACAGGTGTGTTTTGCAGAGCTTGAAAATCAACCAGTGATTTCCTATTTGATTTTGTTCCTTTCCAAGCAAGTCTCATAAAATGTTATCCAAAACCAATTATATTTGAGCAGCAACTTGATTAAGAAAGTGCAAAGTCAGCATTAACATCAGATGATCCTGACAGAAGCATATTTAGTGACTCAACTAGGAGACAAAGACAACTCCCAAAATACAGCTCAGCAATCAACTGCAATTTAAGAAATAAGCCTTCCTTTGCTAAAGAAAGCATAAATTACTGTTATTTGCCACTACCACTTGTGAGTTCCCTACCACATATTTCCACTCATTGCCTGTATTGTACATAAGGAGCCAGAAGGCTCACACTGATTCCTTGGTTACACACCAGGCTGTGATCCAGGGAAACCAAAAGCCACCAGCTCTCAGCACTGGGACAGCCCCTGGTGGCTGCTGCCAATCACAACAATTCAGATATTTTTGCTTTCTTCTCTACAGAACATTTTCTCAATCACCTTAAACACGACAGCAGGACCATGATTTAGGCTCTGATATCCAAATTACAGTCTTTCAGAGCTCTTTATGGTTATTACTCTTGCTTGCCCTAATACATCAGCTTCTCTGCCAAGTTCTGAAAGCAATTTCTTAAACTGTACTTGAAATTAAAATGATTTGTGAAATTATTAGGTGAAAATAAGTAAGGCTTCCTACTTACAAATTGCAAAATTGAATAATTCATTACATAGTCACTCATTTTATAACCTGGCAAAGAGAAAACAGCTCAGCAGCTGTTATTAATGGACCTAGTAGACCACTAGGTTATACCAAAACTACTACTACTACTTGGTCTCCATGCAGGGTTTGTTTCAATTAACCTTAAAACCAAAACCCCAATAATTTTCAGTGTCAGAAGCATTTTAAGTATTTTATCAGATCCTATAACACACCCAGGCAATTTTAATGCCAGTCATTAAAAACACCTTCCCAAGTGGTTCACTTAAAGGAAACAAGTCAGTGAAACCCTCAGCTTGCTCTCACCAGAATATGCTTTGTTTGACTTTAGCAATACTTCTCTTTTCACCACTTGCAGGATGTTGTTAGTAAGGATTTAACTGCCTATAAATGCAGCTGTACTGTGAGATCACAGAGAGACTAGACCAGCTGGACCAAAGGGTCTGTTCACACATTGCCACAAATCATTTTGGGTTTCAGGTTACTTTTATTTCCCCTTTCCTTTTTTTGACTCAGATTTTGAGATGGTGGTATAAGCACACTCCATGCTACCTCCCTTTGAAACACAGCAGTTGCTGAGCCACACACCATCCTCATCTGACCATAAACCTTCACCCCACAGAATGCAATAGCTGGGGCAAAGCCCAGTGTTGCACTGCATCAGTTTCACACCATCACCCACCCAAGAAGATTCTCAGAAAAAAGCCACCAGCCACTCCTGGGAGCAGTGCTCTGGCCCACGTGCTCCTGCCTCTTGCTGCAAAGATCTCAGTCTGGTACTTCTGTGGGACATTTGGGGCCCAAGTCCCAGATCCTTTGAAGGAAATGCAGAAAACCAAGGAGGCTTCCATGATTCTTGCTACAGAGCTATCCAATGGACTGGCATTTCAAAACAACAAATCGTGATCAGAAGTCATAGAACAAAAAGTTATGTTGCAGACCCAACATTCAACATGACATTACCAACTACATTCTCATTTTTTGCAATATCATGGTTCTGCCCTGAGCCAAAAAAGGTACCTGAGATGAAGGAACAGGGATGGAAAGGCAGCTTCTTTTCCCTTGATCTTGTTCTCCACCTTCAAAATCCTCTGTAGTTTCTTCAGAAGCTAATCTTTTTTTCTGCTGTACATGTACTTCTGATTTCAATGACTCTGTATTACCTTCTCCCCTTCCTTGGCCTTTTTTCTTTCTACTACCTTAAAAAAAAAGGAAAAGGGTATTTTGGAATGCAACTTTTAAGTGAAATCCTGACTCTAGAAATCATTAAAGCAGAACACTGGGCACATGGCATGAGAAACAGCAGCAGTTGTGAAAAAGGCTTTTTAAACAGTTCCAATGTTTGCATGTATCCTCAGTTCCCTCAAGGTCAGGCCTTGAGGTACATCTCACCCACACAGCTCCTAATCTCAACACAAACACAACCAAAGCATTCAGTCTTTGAAATAAACATTATATTCACACATATGGCAAACCTTATAGTACTGGCAGAGAAACAAACAAATAGACAAACAAACCCAACTCCCCCAAAAATACAAAACAAAAGCACAAACATAAGAAAACTATCACACCAGTAAGGACTCAACACCATGCAATTTTTATATAAATATGGCAGGAGGGAACAGTCTAGATTTAGAAGGGAGAAGAAAGAAAAAAATACTGAAACACAGATTTTCTTTGTCATCTTATAATTTTTTTCCAAACTAGCCTTTGAGGAAAAGCATAGGCAGTGTGGTGGGTGGCACATGACTGAGGTGTTTAAAGCCACAGTTGCCCTCATCAGTGCACACAGACACCTGTTTTTACAACAGGAGAGAATAAGCAACTGGTCAGACACTGCAAAACATACTCCTGTGGGCCTGCTTGGATATTAAGAGCCAAATACACAACAGCATCTCAGCAGAAACAGCAGCTGGAAAGAGTCAGTAGAGCAGAGCTGCTGCACACAGGGGAGCAGACACACGCTCACCAGCCACAGTTCATACACTTGGACTGATCAGCAAAGGAAATTCAAGTCTGCACCCAAACCACTCCACACCTCCCCAAGAAGGGAAATCAGGGTGGGGTGTGCTGTGTTTGGCTCAGGGAATGACAAAAATACTTTCCCCCTCTCACTTCTCTGGCCCTCCTGTTCCACCAATGAAAGTCCCAAGGGCAATAAATGCCATGTACAAAGTTTGTCTAATGGCAGTTTTAGAAGCTCCCAGGACCAAAGGCAGACAGATTAAAAAGTCTTCTTGAGCTTGTGCCAATGCATAGACACCTTGTGTGGCCCACTGACTGACTGAACACAGCCTTCTGCTGCTGCCACTGCTGCTAGGCAGCAGCACATGACACATCCAGCAATTCCTCTTCCCACAAGAACAGGAGGGAATGCAACACTATTTTAGCCTTAAGTTGGTAAGAAAATATCAACTGTCATGAACTGCTCCTCTTAGAAATTAATTTTGGACTAAATAACCAAGTTTGATTCAGTCATGATTAAAAATCTAACATGCAACACCACCCAAACCCTTCTGCCTTTAAAACCTGTGAAATTAACAATCTAAATTTAGAAGGGCAAAACATAAGTGACTTAGGTGTGGAGAATGCTAGGAATTAAGGAAACAGAAACTACTTAGAATTTACATACAAAATAGGCAAGTTTATAGGAAAGGGCTCCTGAACACCCAACACTCAGCTGCACAAAGTTTATTATCTGGCAAAAACCAAAAAGAACAGAAAGAAAATTAACTGATGAAAAAGAGCTCTATCACACCCACAGGACTGATGACAAAGAAGACAACAGAAGTCAGTCTTTGTCAGCTGCCCCACACAGAGCATGGAAAGAGAAGTAGCAAATTAATACTTCCTACCACCACCATTATAATTTTAAAAATTATATCAAAGCACAGAAATGCATATTGGAATGCAATCATTATCACACTGCAAACCTACCTCCTGTCATAACAGGCCTGGAAACCCTCTGCACCACAAGGTCTCTTTCCAGCATCCAAGATGGAAGCACTCTCTTTCTTTGAACAGATTTTGACTCTTTGCTTTCATTACCATCAGAAAGAGGAACCTGAAAGAACATTTCCTGTTTAGTGCCTTTATCCAGTTACAGAAGAGTGGGGGGAAACTAGACCACAGTTTGTACTCAGTTATGCCCTTCAAAAGCAGTCTGGGAAACCACCTACTTTTCCTATGGGGACCATTGCTCAAATATTTTACTTTTTTTTGAGTTTCCACCCACTCAGAAAGACTACATTTATAGGAACATTCATTCAGCAAAAAACAAAACAAAATATAACAGAACTTCTTAAATCTTTAGAATAAATATTTAAAAGGCTACAAACTGAAAGATTCATAGAAGAGCTTTACCACCACCTTGCTCTAGAGTTTCCCTACATAGATATATCAGAAAGAGCAAGTTTAACATAAGCCTACTTGTCCAAGGAAAAAAAACCCAAAACCCCGCAAACATAGAAGTCTTTCTTGCATTCCTACAGTTTATTTCTCCAGAAAGTAACCAGACTCTAAATCTCTGTAAAAACAATGCAAATGCACCAGTCACATTCATTATTTACTGAAAACAACACTATCATTTTGAATTTCCTGAGCCAGTCCACCCCAGGGATCTCAACTACAGCAAAGGCTGACATTTCATTTGTATAGAGAACATAACTTTCAATACATGCTTACAAATATTAAACTTCATTAAAAACTTAATGACACCCACCACAAATCTGGAGGTAGCATCATTATTCCTCGTTTCTGTGGCTCCCTGTACCTCAGAGCTGGAACATTCCATTAACAACGGAATACAGGACATCTCAACAGCACGAACAGTTGGTGCTTCTGCATCAGCCTCCTGATGTTTTTCTGACAAAACAAAATCAATTTTGTCTACTCACACACTACAAACATAAACATGCACTTTTGACTCAAACACAGAAGTTGGTATTTTGTTGTTAAAAGTTGTTAATGTTTGCCATTAACAAATGCAGTTTGAAACTGACTCTCAACATCCTCTTAACACAGCTTACAGAGGAAATAAATGCATCTTCCTTTTACCTCACACCTGAAGGCTTTTGAACAAGACTCTCTAATAACTGCTGACCACGACCATGATGTTTTGGGGCTTAAGTACATTATTTACCCTGGTTGCTGCCATGACAAACTTTGAGAAAGCTTAAACTGTATCTTAGAATTTGCTTTATGACAAATCTGCACAACTCGCCAAAATCTGATCCTATCCTAAAAGTCAGGCAACAATTTTAAGATGGAGTTTTCAGGATCAGATGCCCAATGAATCAAGCCCTTCCCAGCAAGTTCTCACTACAGGCTACAAGCCTGCAGCACTGAGTTGACACTAGATTCGCAGGTGCTAGTTTCAAAAGTTGCAGTTCAGAGCCACTACATCTAAAAAGCTTTTTATGTTATGAAAGCACACCCAAACTTCAACTGTTTTTCCTTCAACACATTGCCCTTCCACTACTCAATTCACCAGCACAAATAATCAGGGAAAAACAAGTTTAATTGCTGCAGTATTCCCTGCACAGAACACTGGGGAGTCTCTGCCAACCCTTCCAGAACTTTCTGCACTGCAGAGACGGCACACTGACCAGCTGAGCTTTCTCGTGGTGTCCCTGTGAAGAGAAACACCAAGGGCTAAGCTCAGCCCTCAGCAGGGACTCACAAAACCCCAGGATGGGTGAGGTTCAATGGGACCACCGGGGGTCATCTGGCCCCAGCTCCCTGCTCAAGAAGGGTCATCCCAGAACACACGGCACGGGATGGCGTCCAGATGGTTCTGGAATATCCCCACTGAGGGACACTCCTCAACCTGTGCCGGCAATCTGTTCCATGTGCAACCACGGCACAGAAAGGAACTTCTTCCTTACAGTCAGGGGGAACTTCTGTGCATCAGTTTGTGGCCATTGCCTCCTGTCCTATAGTTCTGCACCAGTGGGCACAGCCTGGTCCACCCTTTTGGCACTCTTCTCTTAGATACTCATGACTGAGGTGCCCCCTCAGCCGTCTTTTCTCGAAGCTGGTCAGGCCCAGCTCCCCCAGCCTTGGCTCCTACGGGAGATGCGCCACTCTCCCCATCATCCTCGCTGCCCTTCCCTGGAGCCGAGCTTTCCCTGCCCCTTCCACCCTCGCAGCTGCAGCGCTGCGCCTCCAACCCGCGGCTGCGGGCACGAACCGCGCGGGCCCTGCGAGCGGGGGTCGCTCCCTGGGCCCGCGGCTCTGCGGGGCCGGCCCGGCCTCACCTCGGGCTTGCCTTGGCCGCCGGGACAGGGACAGGGACAGGGACAGGCTCGGAGGTGGTGCCGAGCCCGGCAGGAGCCGCCGCCGTCGCCTGATGACGCGCGGCCGCCCCGTGACGCGCGGCCTCCCCCGGCCGTGCCGCGGCGCCGCCTCCGCGGTCCCGAAACTGCGGAGATTCGCCCCGAAAGGAGCGCCGTAGACATGGCGGCAGGCAGGCACCCAGCACCCGGCCGGCCGCACACAGAGAGGCCGCAGTGACGCCTCCCCAGCCCGGGGCCGCGGGGATGGACGCGGAGCGCGCCGCCGGCCGGGACAGCGCCGAGGGAGGGAGAGGAGCACTGGGTGACTTCGTGTCTGCCCTTCCTCCCGAGATCACCTCCCGGATTTTCAGCGGGCTGGATGTGGAGAGCCTGTGCCACGCGTCCGTGACGTGCAAGGGCTGGCACCGCGTCATCGAGAGCAACGAGCGGCTGTGGCGGCACCACTGCCTGGCCGTGCGCGCCGTCTGCCAGCGGGAGATCGACTGCGACCGAGGGCACGGCTACTCCTGGAAGGTAAATCCACCTCCAGCGCCTGAACACCGGCAGTGACATAAACGAGAATGCTGAGGGCCAATAGAAAATGTAAGGAAATGACATCAGCCTGTCGCACCCATCCCGGGGTTGTGGGGGATCGGTGACAGCGTGGCGCGGTAGCGCATCCCGGCAGACGGACATCTGGTAAAATACACCGGGAGATAAAGCAAGGCTGTCCCTTTTCCTACCCAGGACACAACCTGTCCGGCTCGGCGTTAGTCCTCCTGCTGCCCCGCACAGGCTCCGCGCTGACCTTCGTCACACACCAGCCCTAACACGGGGACAAAGTTCCCGCAGATGGGGCCGGCAGGGACTGGGTCACAACTCCGATAGGCAGGGTGTGCTCTCCAGTTGTATTTTGTGGAAATAGATCTGCTGGTTAGGAATGACTTCCTGAAAAATCATCCTCGATAGTGCTGTCTCAATACAGCTCAAGTGACACACATTCAGGAGGAAAAAAAAAACGGGGAATAGGAAAGGAAATGAGCAGGAGCTTTTATAAACTGTTTAGAAAATCTCCCCACAGACTGCTCTGAGGAGTTTGCAGCAGGTTCAGCTCCAGAACCTGCTGAATGATCTCTCCCCATTGAATCCAGCCTGGAAGTTAAGATAGATCAGGACTGATCAGGCAGACCCGGTAGCTGGTTCCACAGGTTACTCTGGGCCAGCTATGGGGTAATCTCTCACCTTATTTTAGCTGGTGTGCTTGGGAGCACTGGAGGGGTGAAGAGAGGAAAGCAGCAGCAAAAGAAACAAAAGCGGCCACTGGACTCTGACATTCCAGTAAAGTTTCTGCAAGTGTGAGACACAGACATGAGCAGATAGTGGTTACCCTTTCAGTGTATAGATCTTGCTACCCTTGCACAGCAATTTCCAGAACTCCCTGCACTGATTGTCTGTTTTATCTGGAGGGCATTTGAAGTAGAAGCTACAAACACACCAAATCTACATTTTCTTGCCCTTAAAGGCCCTTTAGGTCACAACCTAAATAGAAAGTGGAAGGTGCCCTTTTTAAGGAATAAGACAAATGTCTGGTGTGGGATTTTCATCTTGACCCAAAGAACTGAGGCAGGAACAGAAAAGTTGGAAGTAGAACATGTTCTGCTTCCCAACAGCGTTTCACCTTCCTGGACTTAAAGTCTAGATTTCCAAAGGCACATTCCAAATCCCTTTTCTGGGACTACTCCTCTAGTGTAAACTTGTTATATTGAATGCAGTTTAAATTGGTTCCTTTCTGAGATCTGACTATATGTTTTTCCACCAGATTACGTTGTTGAGAAACTACTGGAAAAGCAAAGTGAAGAAAGAATGGCTTAGTGGGAAATACAGCAACATTCCTTCACAATTCAGTTTGCCAGAGAAAAGCATGTATCCAATGGATGTCGACACGTGGGGAGAAATCTTGGAAGCAGAACTTGAGAGATGATAAACCAGTGCTGATTCTTGCAACTCAGACAACTTTTACCAACAGCAGACACACTGTTCAGCAGTTGTGAAACTGATTTTGAGCTGATTATGAATTTATGATGACAACTTATCAAAAAAATTGATGGATGTATTTTTATTTGTATTTTACTGTATTAATTTTATGTAAAATTCTAAAGACAACTAAGTATTTAGTTGTAATTTATATTTATAAATGTAATGTTCTACTGCACTGTCAAAAGTATGCTGATTATAATTTCAGTTTGCACTTTTTGCTTTGGAAGAGATGATTTTTATATTAAAAAAAAAAACAAAAAAAACCCAACCCCCAAAAACCCTCAAGGTGTGTTTGACCTATTGACATAAGCATTATCATATCAGCAGCACATGAGAGCCCAGAAAGGAAAGCTGGGGAAGGGACAAATCCAGACACCGGAAAGAATCCTCTGGACAGCATCGCTCTGTTACCCTGACTAAGAGAGCTAGAAGTGCAAAAAGTACATCTGAGTTAATCAAGAAGATTAAACAAATTAAACAATACTAACAGTACATTCTCATCACCTCAAAACTGCCCAGTTTTTTTTAATTATAACATAAGGAAACTGCACACTAATGGATCTAGTCCCTCACCTTTCTCATCCAGCTTTCTCTGTTACCTCCAGTCTGTAACTCTCTGACATATATCCCCTATTCCTGTTCCTTTCATGCCCTTATGCTGTAAGTTCTCATGTATTTGTCTCACGATACAGTTTGTAAACAGAATAATATTAGGTTTGAATCTAAAACAGTTACTTCCCTGGTTTATCATCTTAACTGTAGCTTTTCCCTATTCTCAAATAAGCATTAAGGGTCCCCAGTATCTGTTGTGTCTCTGCCTCTGTTCAGATGAGGTGGCTGTGCCTTTTAAAAACAAGTAATTAAACATGCAGCTATGCAGGTACACAAGGCCTGCATCTTTAAAGCTGTAGTAACAGTGGTGTATGTTTCTTGTGAAAAATCTATTACCGAGGGAAAAAAAGTATTTAAGTACAAATCCACATAAAAACAAACTTTTCTTCCTCTCCATACTCTGACTCCTTTAGGGGTTTTAATTTAAGGGTTTTAAGGGTTTTAATTCCCACTGGAAATTTCATTACATCAGTTCTGGTCATTTGTTCTACTCCTCTCTGCTCCTGCACCTTCTACTCAGCCTCCCATCTCTGCTGCAGGATGGATGTGTTCCCTTCCCTTTAAAGATATCCCAGCAGCATCCAGTGGTGCACTCCTTGCAGCACCTGGTTTGGGCCCATCTCTTGACCCCTCTGCCTGCCAACAAAAGCCACTGAAATCCAGAAATAGGAAGATTGTACCAATGCCTGAATTAGCACTCATATGTGGGTGTCCTTCCCCAGAGAGCATGCTCAGCAGCTGAAACCACACATGTAAAGCTCACACCACCCAGGGCACGCATTAGCTACCCCCACACCTTGGCTGGTGAAACCCTTTTTCTGCTCCAGTGCTTACCTCTTACCCACACATTTTTGCTGAAGTGCAAAGTTCTACTTTTGAAACCCCACTGAACTTCCATTCTCATGCCATTTTTACGCCTCTGACACTTGGAAGGTGGCAGCTGCAGAAAGGTGCTCAAGGTGTCCATCACCTAGGCTTTCCACCTGTGATGCCTCAGGTTTTAGCTTTTCTATTTTTCAGATTCTGTACTGCTTTAGAGTGTACTTCTGAGCTTCATATTAGGGGATGGTAAGCTCTCTTCACAGAGCAGGTAGACAAAACAATTCCTTCTCTAGCTGGGGACCAAGGACAAATGATCCAAATTTCAGGCCCAAGAGCATAAACAACAGTGGACCGAAGAGAGAAAAATAAGGATGGGACTTCATAACCTAGAGCTATAATTGAACAATTAGTTCCAATATGCTAATGGACCTAAACTTATAAAAGTGTGAGACCCCATGACCGCTCATCCATTTTGTGACCATTTTGGGTTCATCTTGGGTGTAGCCCTGGCTGGGCTCTTGTGCTGCCCAAGGTGTATCCATTGAGGCCTTGTAATAAATACCTACTTTATTCTTTAGCTCCATCTAGTCTCTGTTCTAGGTCAGCCTTTACAAGGCATCACCTGGCCTTCCTGCCATTCACCAGCCTACCCACCTAGTTTTCCTAGGATACAGAGCCCTTTGGAGAAAGCACATGAAGTTTTTGTGTGCAGAGCTGTTTGCAGATGTTTTCTGCCCACACAACTCAACTATGCAACAAAGCCTTAAACCAGCCAGGCTTCTATGAGAAAAAAAGGCTTCCCTCCAGCACGAAACCTTGAGAGGTGCTGCACAGCTCGATATCAAAAAGACCAGCACTGAAGCTCAGCTGGAGGGCCCCCCAGGTCAACATTTTATTTCTGCATCTCCAAAACCCACCTGTGGTATTTATAATAACACCTGTTGGTGTTAGAACCTTTGCAAATACTCCTTGCTGCAGTGCTCCATTTTTGAAGTGACTAGCTGACAGTGTGGCTTTATTTCATCAGGGTGCAGGATGTGGCTTTGGGCCATCACCATTAACTGACTAAAGGAAAAAGTATGCACGAGATATTTGATCACCACAGGCTTTTAATCAGACCACTCAAATTTCAAGGCTAATTTTGTCAATTTGTTTCTGCCAATAGGCAGAAACGTGCAGATAGTCATGTCTCTATCCTGATCATCTTTGGAAGGTACCAAGTGACAAAGTTATCCCAACTGAAGGCAGAACAATTGAGCTCAGGACTGGGATCAGATGTTTCAGCCCACCAGAGCTGACAGGAAGACAATAAAAGCATACAGCTGGGAGGACTTAGGTGATGGTAGTGTTATTTTTTTATTTTCCCTCCAAATGAACTTGGGATGAGGTATACTGGGTTCCCAAGACATTGACACTTGGCAGTTGTTTTTCACCCTATTGCTTGTTCAGAAAAGTCCATCTCCAAAACCACAGAAGAAATCACCTGCTGCATTTAACACCTTAAGTCAGCAGCATCTTCTGATCAGCACAAAGCTAAGAATTGAGTGTAGGGGGGCCAGGGGGTTGAGGCCTCAGTATGAAGGGCTAGACCCACTTCTGCTATTCTGGTAAACCAAAAAACCCAAGCTACAACTGTGGGTTGAAAGGGAAGGAGGGAGGTGATGGACTGCAAACTCAGAGACCCTGGAGGACCTACCAAGATGAAACCCAAGAGGATAATTCTGTGTACTGGCACAGTTTGCTGCAGTCTCCCCCAGCTCCTCAGAATCACCCTGTCCAGCACTGCCAACCCATGCCCAGCAGCTATGGATTCACAAAGCCAGAGGGGAATAAATCCAGCCTGCTCGAGCACACAAATTAGGTACAATATTAGCTGGTTTTAACTCACTTTTAAAAATGTTGTTAAAGCTGCATTTTTAAAAACTTTAAAAACCTTAAGGGGCAAAGGAGCTGCTCTTTGCCAGTCCAGGAGTGCTGACTGCGTGGGCTGTTTTGTTGCTGAGATACCAGAGCTGTACACAAATGCTCCTCCAGATGCCACAGGACACCAGTGGCCATGAGGTAATGTGTCACTCATAGCACCAAATATTGGTTTTTAAACATTTCCATGGTCTCAGAATGCCAAAACCAAAAGCTGCTGTCAGCTGCCTATAGGATGATTCAGCTTGAAGACTTTAACTGAAGGTACAGTTTGAGCAAGCTGGGAACAGAGAGAAAACTTCAGTCAAATAAACCAGCCACCTTAAGCCTTTAATCCTTATTTGGGAAAAAGGAAAAGTTGAGAAAGAGAAAAAGGTGGAGTTTTTTTTCAGCAGCAGTATCTAGCAACTAATAAATGAAATATTACAATACCCCATAAGAGCTTTACTTGTCTGTTCCACTGAAGGAATATTTTCAATAGTTTCCACTACTTTTCCATCACATTGCTAAAGAACAAGAGCACGGAACAAATATATGTGGGATATCCTAACACCTAGGTTTCACCAGGTACATTATATAGCCCTTTAACAGCATAGCCAATCACAAAAACGTGCCAAAAGTCACCCAGTGTGGCTGACCAGACTAAATTGGCTTTTCTAATGCACCTTTATTTTTGAACATCACTGGTCTGCAGACAATTTGTTTCACTAAGTTACACTGCTCCTTAAAGTAATTTTAATAGCTCATCACTGTGTGTACTTAGAGACAACAACACCAGGGACCTGCTCAAAATCCAATACCCATAAAGGAGCTTCATATCTATGTAGAGCCCACAAGTATGAGGATAATATGCAGCTCATCACTGTGTGTACTTAGAGATAACAACACCAGGGACCTGCTGAAACAGGGACCCAATACCCATAAAGGAGCTACATATCTATGTACAGCCCACAAGTATGAGGGGAAGAGAGGAAGTTTTTACTGTTTTAAGGGCGTGACTAAAGAACACATGGTATGTTGTAGCAATTCTGAAATGACACTAGGCATTTATGTTTTCTCATCCAAGATCCATGGCTCTATGATGCCTGAAAGCAGAAACACCAGCTGTCTTTTAGGATGTTTAGGTCAAAATAGTTATAAGAAGAAGGATATGGGGGAGGGAAGAAGAGAAGAAAGGGAAAACTGAAGATGTAACTTGGAAAATAAATAATTTCTTTAAGTAAAAAGTATTAATTAAGAGAAACTCAAACCAACAAACCAGTCTTATTTTACCAGTTGTATGCTAGAATAATTAAACACTTCCTTTTAGAAAAAAGCTACATAAGAGTATTAAAAGCCTGATCTAAATAACTCTTCCTATTATTCAAAAATATCTCACACATGTGCATCAATTTTGTTACTGTACTTTACCCATCATGTGCTTGGGAAACACAGCAACTTAGATACACATAAAGCAGAAGCAATGAAGGACAGAAGAGATGGTTTCTTGATTTTCTTTTGATATACTTTGGTGATTAAGAAAGGATTTTCAGACTTTTCCTTACAATATCGAAGCAGGTACATGAAAAGATTGATCATACATTGATTTACATAATTGATACACCATCAGTCTGCAATAGGCTGTTCTATTATATTTGATAGAGAAAGAGGCTAATGGCAATACTTTGAGAGTTCTCAATATCCTTTTTATATCAGAGTTTGAGGATGTAGGAAGATTAGGGTGTCTAGTTATGTGGGATTTTTTAAATTAAACTAGTCAATCCCCAGTTCTCTTTCCTCTCCCTTGATCACTCCAGTTTATCAATATTCAGAATTGTGGTGAAAAACATACTGAAAGCAAATTTTAAATAATACTAACATAATCTCTCTCCCTTTCAGTTGCCAGAAGCAAAATTCCATCCAGTTTTATCAGCATTTCTCTTTTATTATTTTCCTCCCTCCTGCTCAGTCATCTTTTAATGAGTTGAAGAAAAGGAGGGAAAGACATTGTCATCTTAAAACAAAGGCAGAGTCCATGCAGGGAAGCAAAGAATTTTAATATTGCCCATAAAATTTAATTTTATTATTTTCCTCCCTCCTGCTCAGTCATCTTTTAATGAGTTGAAGAAAAGGAAGGAAAGACACTGTCATTTTAAAGGCAGAGTCTATGAAGGAAAGCAAAGAGTTTTAATGTTGCCCATAAAATTTATCATGGAAGGCCAATGAAGCATGAAAAGCAGCATTTTATTCACCTTTCATACAGTTTAAGTCTCCCTTTTACTGCACTGGAAGGAACTAAAAACTAATGCAGGGAAGCAAAGAATTTTAATATTGCCCATAAAATTTAACATGGAAGGCCAATGAAGCATGAAAAGCAGAATTTTATTCACCTTTATCACAGTTTAAGTCTCCCTTTTACTGCAGTGGAAGGAAAAAAAAAAAATTAGGCAATCTACAAGAACCAGAAACAAAGTATGGAAAGCCACAGTTCTGGTTCTAAATGCAAAGCAGGAAGTGCTATGTTCTAATCAAAACCCCCCTCCCAAGCTTATTTT